AGACAATCTGGTGGGAAGACAGACAAGTAAGCAGGAAACCACCACACTACCAAATGGAGATGGGGGAAACCCTAGGGATGAAGTGGAGAAAAAAACCCTCAAGGAATGCTTTCTGAAGGCAATGATATGTTCCCAAGCTGACACCTGAGGAGTAAAGCAGCAGGAAGGAGCATGTGCAAAAGCCTTGAGGCAAGAAAACCTGGCATTTTGTAGGATAAAGTTAGGCAACGTGAGAAGGGAGAGAAGGAGTGAGCAATGAGTATAAAGGAAGGTAGAGATGCTCATGAAGGATCTTGGGGTCAAGTCCAGGGGTTCAGTAGTCAGCGGGGACCCACCAAGGGCCCTGGGTAGGGTTTGTGGCCCATTTTAATGTGCGTTACCCAAGATGATCCAGTGCATTAGAGCCAAGCAGACAGAGGTGCCTCTCTTACTGCTCTTCACCCCAGCCTCCAGAGACTCTATGCCCACCCATCAGGGATAGCAGATACTTCCTGTGCCGTCAGGGGACTGGAACCATGGCCAGAAGAGAGAACCCTTAGGGAGACAGGAGGCTGAATGGCATCCAAGGCCACTGAGAGAAAGCCTTGAAAGCCTATCCTCTGAGTGACAGTGGCTTCTGGTGACCTCAGAACCAGATTCAAGTCTGGCTCAAGTCCCTGATTCCCTAGAGGCACGTAGTGTCTGACTTCAGGGCACACTGTGGCCAGCAGATTGCTCATCTCTCCAGAGACCCCAGAACCTCTGGCAGGTAAACAGGCCAGGCTGGCTCAGCATGTGCATGGTGTGAATTTGCACGTGTGTCAGAGTGCTGCGGTTGACCTGGGCCATGCTCACCATGGCCTCACACGGGTCTCTCTTAAACTAATCTCTGTAGACATTCTGCCCAAGTCCGCAGCCTCCACGAGGCCCTGGTGTGTCTACCATCTCCAAGCCTGTCATGGTCCACCAGGAGTCCAACTTCATCTACAGGCCAGCAGTGAAATCTGAGGTCCTGGTAAGCCTCTCGGGTCCCCTCCAGGGCATCGCCAGCGAGCAGACCAGATCCGCCTCTTCTGGGTTCTGCTGGAGGGACAGTGAGGTGGGACACAAACTCACATTAGGTGCTATCTAACCTTCTCATTGGCCAAGAGATGGATCCACATGGGTGTAATGGTCATGACATGGCCCGTGACATTCCTGTTCCTCACGTGACCAAACAGGTTGCAGCTCTGTCTAGAAGTAATGAAAATAACTGCTCAGACTTGCTGTGAGCCTACCCTGTGTCGGCTCTGCAGGGTCTCACAACAATCCAGTAGATGCTACCTGCTATCCTTGTTTCACACTTGAGGAGCCCAAAGCTTAGAGAGGTCAAGTCCATGGCCCAAGGCAAAGCCAGGACTTACTACTTACTTCAAAGTCATTCATAACCCAAAGCCCAAGCTCTTACCTAGATTGCCAACTTGCCTAAACGTAAGTGGCTCTGCCTCTGCCCCTAAGACCCAGCGTGGCTCCGCATGGCATGGACCACCCTCAGAAGGGGACCTGGCCAGAGCAGATCCACACCCTTTCTCCAGTTCACATCTCACTCCTCACTGGGACTGAGAGTGTGAGGTGTGGTCCTGGGGGAGAGGGGAGGTCAGCCCACCCTGTCACCTGCAGCTGAGCGAGCTGGGACTCATGCACACCCTGCTCCAGGGGCACCAGCCACTGACTGGCCTCCCACATGTGGTGGGAAGAGCCATGCCAGAATTCCAATTCTCCTTTCAAGGAAACCCTACCCAAATGTCAGGGCAGGGTGGCTCAGATACTTATTTTGAGCTTTAGCTGTCCTGTCAGCTTCCCGACAAGCTAGGTTCATGCTCCCGTGACAGCCTGCTGGTGCATCTGTGTCGCATGCTCTAGCTGATGACAAGGGGTGGTGGTGTCTGCTTGACTAGAACTGGGTAGCTGCTGTGTCTGGGGACATTGTACGGGCCAAAGCGTAAATCAGGCTGTATCTATTTGGGGAGGGATTTTGTCAGGGCACCCCAGGGTGGCAGGCCTGGGATCTGGCACCAGGGGGCAGACGAGGACTGTTGGTAACATCCAGCATGGAACTTTGTTTTTTCCCCCCCTGGCAGCCACAGGAGATGCTGAAGAGGATGGTGGTTTATCAGACAGCGTTCAGACAAGTACAGTGATACCTGTCGTGTGTCTGTGGTCCTCCCTGCCACCGCGTGTCTCCCACTCTGACTTCTTTCTCTGGGAATGCTGATCGGCTCTCAGGTGGCCCCTAGCGCCATCTGCTGGGAGCTTCAGGCCAGAGCTGTCTCCCCCATGGCCACAGCCAGGGGGTGGGGAGGGTCTCGTGTCAAGTGGGGACACTAGGCTTGTTGGGCCCCATGCAAGATCCCTGGGGGCTTAGCTCTTTTGTTGCTGTTTGTTCAAAGAGGAATAGGACAGAGGAAACCCTCAGAGGCCAAGATGGATCCTTGTTTCAGCCCTAGGTGCCTGAGCTTTCTACCGCCACTCCCCCCGTTTTGGCCCCTCAAAGCAGATCACAGAGTTAACCCCAACTCCCGGGATCATAATAATTCACATCACTTCCTCTCTGATGTAAATGCACATCAGAGAGGAAGTGATGGCCCAGATCCTCCATCTGCCCAGGGAGCTCCTGTGCACGGGGCCACAGAGGTCCTAGCTGGTCAGGAAGCAGCCACTTATCCTCCCCACCTCCTGGAGCTCACATCCACAGAACCACCATTGGATTGGCTGCCTCACCGCCAATGAAAGAGACCTCCAGATGGAGGGAGATTGTGCAGCCAAATTCCACACTGATAACCCACCACCCAACCACAGGCGAATGTGACTATAGGCAGGAAGCTAAGGGAAGGTGTCGGCTGTACAGTGAGACATGGGGTCTGCCACGGAGGCTGCTCCCAATGACAGGCGGTGGCTAACAGAAGGTGTGCTGCACCAAACACTGTTTCTCAATACTTTATGTATATTAACTCTTTCAATCTTTATAGCAACCTAGGAATTACATGCTATTATCATCCCCATTTTGTAGATGAGAAACTGACACAGAGAGATTAGGAAATGCACCTGTGATGTTCTGATACACACAACCAGTGTCAGACCCCAGATCTTAATTCGGAAGGTTGGGCCCCTTGATGCTACGCCATTCTGTTTCTCAAAGCACTGTGATTATAAAAGGGACATTTAAGAGCCGTGTTGCTTAGGGCACACACAGGTTCAAAGGGAGAGAAGCAGAAAGGTGAGAAATCCAAGGGCCCAGGCCTGGACTCAAGCCCTCGCTCCACTGCCCACTGACTGGCTGGCCTTGGGCATGAATGTCACCTCTGTGGGCCTCCTTCTCTCCTCTTCTGGATGAAGGGTTGGGCTCCTTTTTCAAGGGCTGACCAGCTATAATGGCTTATAAGTCTCTGATCTAAATTTACACAAGACACAAGCACTTGCCATCTGGCCCATCCCTGAGAGCAGATTCTCAGGGGGAAGATTCTCAGGCCCCAAGCCAGCACTGCCAAGTTTTGCAGAAGAGACAGCCAGGGGCAGGCAGGGCCCTCCCTGAAAGAGCATTGACTCAGATCCTGCCTATTATGCTCACTTGCATGGGGATTTGCTGTTCTGACATTCATAGGCTGACCTGGGAATGGCATCAAGCTGGACCAGGCTCGAGACTCCTTGGCTTTTTGGGGTTGAGTGGGATGATGAAGATTAGAGAGGAGAGAGGACAGGCAGATGCCCAGGGATCCATCTATTGATATGTGGCCCTCGTCTTGTACCTCGAGCTTGGATGCTTTATGCTGGGCATAGTGGTGGCTGTGGCCTCCCATGATGCTGACCACAGGCCCCAGGGGACACTGGGTGAGGCTGAGGGAACTGTGTGCTGTGGGTGGCTCCGCTCAGTCTGGCAAGGCGGCTCCTTGGCTCCCATAGTCCCATGGGGACTAAGGGGAGCTTTGCTGCTCTCCGGCCTGGTGTGCCTGGCCCCTCAGTCTGTGGACCCTGGGCTCCTGCTCTCTGTGTGACTCCTGGCTCTACCTCCTCCTCCCTTCTCACCACCTTGTTTCTGCATCTTGGGAATGTTGTTCCCGGAGCCCTCACCAGCCAGGTCCCCAGAGCTGCGTGTCCTCTCGCCTCTTCCCAGGCTAAGGCTCTGAGAAGGCCTCGCATCTTCTAGATAAACACTACATTAAGATCAACACTGGACATGGGCAAGCACAGACTTCTCGCCTTTCCCCATAGTGCCTGCACTCCCTTTGCCCCTCCTCTCCCTCCTCCGCCCACTGTCCCCCATCATCCTGTGACTGATTCTCCCAGACAAGCAGTCTCTTGAGCAGTGTTGGGCCTTCTTTGAGATCATAGCACTGCATGGAGAAAAGCTGGGCTTCCCTCCCTCCTCTCCAAAAGCCTGGATCTGGGCTCACAGGGCATGTGGAGAAACTGAAATAGGGCCATAGGACCTGCGGCTGTGGGAAGATAAGACCTTCAATAAGCCATAGCTGGTTTGGCTCAGTGGATAGAGTGTTGGCTTGTGGACTGAAGGGTCCCAGGTTCGATTCCAGCCAAGGGCACATGCAAGCTTGGTCCCCAGTGTGGGGCTTGCAGAAGGCAATTGATCAATGATTCTCTCTCATCATTGATGTTTCTATCTCTCCCTCTCCATTCTTCTCTGAAATCAATAAAAATACATATTTTTAAAAGACCTTCAATAAGCATGGCACCACCTGGACATCTGTCAGCTTGGTACCCCTGTCAGCCACAGATGTTAACCCCCCACCTTTCCCCAGGAACAGTGCAGGGTCCAGGGCTGGGATTCTTCTGATGCTCCCCACAGCTTTCTGCTTCTCCTAGGCAGGGGTGCTCTGGCTGTTGGGGCTGCCAACCCCCTCCTGCATGCCCCATCCAGCCACACCTGGCCCCCTCACCTTCTCCCCTACCTCTGCCCTAAGCTTGCTTCCTGCAGTGACCCTCTGGGGCCTCAGACCTGTTGCCCTAAAACTCTTCTTTGCTTCCAGGATTTCCGGAAATATGAGGAAGGCTTTGATCCCTACTCCATGGTGAGAGAGAACTCTCTTCCCCTGGGAGTAACCCCAGGAATGAGGGTTGGGGGTTACAATGTGTTTGGTGGTGATATGCTCTGGGTCCTGGGGGTATCAGGGATGAGCACATGAGGAACCCCAACTCTCTGTTCTTTCCTGTGAAGGCACCTTTCAAATGGCATTCAAGTGGGAAGTGTATGGTGTGTGTGTGTGTGTGTGTGTGTGTGTGTGTGTGTGTGTGTGTTTGATAACAAGTTACACTCACTGAGCACTAACTACATGCCAGGCACTATGCTATGTTTATGAGGCATGCTCTCACCATCTTACAACATTCCTAGGAAGAATGGATGTGTGTGTGCCCACATGTCCCCCAGGGGGCCTGGGACACACACACCCTTCCTCCAGTTGAAGACTGATGGTGCTGGGGCTGGGAAATGTCCCCTTGTCCATGACCTCCATAAATGCCTGGGTCCCTTCCCACCCCGGGCCCCCCTTCATCCTTCAGACAGATTCAAAGCTCCCCACTGTCTTTTCCCTCTAGTTCACCCCAGAGCAGATCATAGGGAAGGATATCCGGCTCCTGCGCATTAAGAAGGTACCTGGGCACATGGAGGTTGGGTAGCCGCCACCCTTCTCTGCCCCTGCCCCCTCCTTTCCTGGTCCTTTGCCTCTTCAACTCTCATGAGACTCCTGACTGACTCCCCAGATCCCCATTGTCCCTCCTTTCTCCCTTGATGGTGCCCTCTCCAGTGGTGGTGTCCCAGGCCCTGGCCCTGCTTGGTGACCATGCCTCACTTTCTCCCTATGATCCCGCCATGGTTTCTCCTGTCCTCTCCATGGCCCTGTCAAGAGGCTTATTGCCCAGGTGCCCACAGGCTGCTGTCTGCTCGTCTCCCTCAGGCCTGTTTTTCTCTAACCAGGAGGGATCCTTGGACCTGGCCTTGGAAGGCGGTGTGGACTCCCCAATCGGCAAGGTGGTTGTCTCGGCTGTTTACGAGGGCGGAGCTGCTGAGCGGCATGGTGAGTGGGGATAGCCATGTCCTGGTTTGGGGATGGTGTGATGGTTATACAGGACTCTGCAGGAAAGCCAACAGCTGTCCACTCAGAGTGGTTGGTAGTTGCTGAAGAAAGCCCTTTCCAGTCCATCCAGCCACCTAGTACCACATATTGCCTGTGGGCATACAGTGGTGCCAAGGCCTGTGGGTACACAGCCAAATCAGATATACCCTACCCTCCAGGGGCTCTCCATCTAGTGATGAAAACATGCTCAGAATTTCCAGGTACTGATAATAACAATGCAGTCTGCCAAGGGCTGACAAAGAACTATGTGGGTGGAGGGAAGCTGGGGGACCTCTGGAGGGCCCCTAAGCCATCGAGGGAAAGGGGGCTGCTGGGAAGAGACCACCTGTCAACAAATAGATGATTACCAATTGTGAACTATGCTCTACAGCAGTGTTTCCCAAAGTGTGGTATGCGTAACCCCAGGGATACGGGAAGAGTTTGGTGGGGGTACGCATTGCACCGGAGTTTGATGGGGATATGCACTGCACCGTGCTTAGCTGCACCTAATTCTACGATGGGTACTCAAAATTACGAAAATTATAGAAGGGGTACACATATGTCAAAAGTTTGGGAAACACTGCTCTACAGGAAAGAACAATGATATAGTGAGAGAATAAAAAGAGATCTGCTTTAGAGTGAGTGAGGGTCAGGGAAGACCTTTTTTGAGGAGAAGACATTTCACCTCAGATATTGTAGACTAGACGAAAAAGAGAGGGAACAGTATTTCAGGTAGAACAGCAAGAGTTGGCCAGCTCAGGGCCCTGAAGCAGACCTGCAGGGCTGGAGCACAGAGAGGGATGACTTGCAGAACTAGTTCATGTTTCATTTCTAGTAACCTCCCTGGGAATGCAGGTCTGCCTCTGAAATAGCAAATGCCCGTATTAAGGCTGGGTGACAAAGATTATCACCTGTGTCCCTATCTACTGAGCGGAGTGGGGGTGAGGGGGTGTGGTCTGTGTGGGAAGGAAGTACTTTGGAGTAACCTGTGTATTGTTTCCCCTCGTGCTTCCGGAGCCCCTGTGATCTGTCAGAATCCAGGAGTCAGGCTCCTTCTGCAGCTCTACAGTGACCCCCTTAGCCAAGCCCTGGGCCAGGCACATGTCACATACAGCCCAGTTGCCAATCAGCCTCATCTTCCTGCAGGCGGTCTTGTGAAAGGAGACGAGGTCATGGCAATCAATGGCAAAATCGTGACGGACTACACGCTGGCTGAGGCTGAGGCTCTCCTGCAGAAGGCTTGGAATCAGGGGGTAAGCGTGACCCTTCTCCCTGCCTCTCTCCCTTGCCTGCTTGCCTCAAACCCTGGTCTCTGCAACCAGGGCTTAGAGCCTGGGTTCCTCGTCCCAGGGTGGGTATCCAGGATCCAGGCAACACTTGGGTGATGCCTACATGCCCCATCCAGCTGAGAGTCTCAGTCTGACAATGTGGGATTCAGAAAAAAAAAAATAAATGTCAGTTCCTGATTTTGAATCCAAAAAGGAAGTAGCACAGATACAGATTCCAGAAGACCAGGTGTGGCAACCCACCCAAGAAGAAAACTTAAGGTCTTTGGGTCTTCTGTAAGTGCACCCTGACCAGGAGTCAAGGGAGTGCCTGGAGCTATCAGAAAGCATTCACAGAAGCAGAGGGCCCGGAAAGGAGGAGGGGCTGAGGGTAGCCTGCTCTGTGCTCATTAGACACCTGGGTCAGGGACACCACGTAAGATCTTCCGGGATGTGCACTGCACAACTCGAGGGGCGCCCTCCTACTGACTACAGTGTGAATGGCGCCCGCTCATGCTGTGCAATGCACAACCTGTGCAACTGTATGCAGGCAGCCGAGCCTGGGGTATTAAGTTCAGAGCCGAGGATGCAGACCAGATGGGACTGGGACCCCCATGAAGGGATGTGGAGAAGAGAAGACTTACGGGTAACATGATGACTGTCTTTGATTATCTGAAGGGCTGCAGAAGTACTTTCTGTGGTTCTTGAGAACAGAATTGGATTGGATGGAGGGAGGTCCTGGGAAGAGATTTCAGTTCAATCTCTGAACTATTGCATGGTAGAGGGACCCAGTGGTAGTTCACATACCTTTTATTGAAAATATCCAAATCAAGGGTGGACAATGATGGATAACCCAAGGATGGCAGTGATCCATTGAGGTGGTGCGTGTGTCAGAATCAGAAATCTAGGCCTGCAATTCCCTAATTGGCTATACATCAGAATAACTCAGGGACCTTGTTAAACATACTGTTTCCCAGGACCTACCCTAGATTTCCAGGGGTCAAGTCCAAGAATCTAGAGTTTTAAGAAATTCCTCCATGATCCCAGGTTGCTGCCCTGCCCGGGTCCACGGGCCAGCATTTGGGAACTCGGTGTCATACAAGGGTCTGGCAACCCTGGCTCTGTGGTTTGAAGCCTCAGAGGCTGGAAGCTTCCCCAGACCATGGAGCCACAAAGTGAGGTCCTCTAGCCTCAACTGGGCCCACCTTCCCATGGGAAGAAGGTCTGAGCCAGCTGATCCTGGGCCATGGTGCCCAGGAATGGGAATGGAGTGTCAGGGGCAGACATGCCGTCAATCCCTGAGGGTACCATAGTGTCACATACCTTCTCCCCACAGGACTGGATCGACCTTGTTGTTGCTGTCTGTCCCCCAAAGGAGTATGATGACGAGCTGTAAGTGTGTGGGGAGCCTGGCCCACTACCTCCTCTGTCTCTTCCTCCTCCAGAATCAATCTTGGCTCCCTTCTGCCAGCCCACTCCCAGCCTCCATCAGCCTGAAGAAATGGCCCAAGCACACAGCTTCTAGTAGAAATCATTCTTAGAAAGTACGGAGCTAGAGAAAGCCTAGAACTAAGCCATGGTCCTTAGGCATTTTCAGAGCTGACTCTGAGACCATCTTGTCCAAATTCTTCTTTGTGTATGGAAAACTAAGGCCAGAGAGGTTCAGGTCTCAGATCAAGTAAATGATGACATTGGTACAAAACCTTGGGACTTCTGATTCCCCACTCAGAAGCTCAGCCCCTACACCATCATCAGCTAGTTTACAGATTTGTCTTTTACTCTCTGGACGGTCTCCCTGATAGGTAACTGCTTTGCTTCTTGCTGAGTCTTTAATCTACCAAGACCACAGGCCTTGGCCCCACCTGCAGGATCTGCAAAGAGCCTTGGCCCAGTTTCCATCTTTCTCCGTGATTCCCTATAATGTATTGCTCTCTGTTTCATTCCCGTCTCTATACCTGTGTGGATCTCTCTTTCATTCTCTTTCTGTCTCCTTCCCCCCTCTCTCTCTTCCCTATCCTCCCTGTCAATCTCTCTCCCATCTCTCTCTCTCTCCCCACTCTTTCCCCTTCATCTTTCTTCTCTTCATCGCCTTCCCTCTTCTTTCTTACCTTCTCTTTTGCTTCTCTGAGTCTCTGCATCCATTTTTTCTCTCTGTCTTTGTCTCTCTCTGCCTCTCTGATGTCTGACCTCTATCCTTATCTTACCACATCACCTCCTTACCCCTCTGCTTATGGCTGGACCTGCCTGCTCCCCCTGCCCAGCAGAGGCTGAGTCCTGTGCATGTCTTGAAGAAATCAAGGTCTCAGAGCAAGGAATTCTGAAACCTGGGACCTAGGCAGCAGCCAAGTGAAGGGAGAGGTCCGATGGAGCTCTGCCTGGAAATAACTGAGCCCTGTTTTGTGTTTCCTGCTCTGCTCTGCGTATGTAGCTCTTCTCTTCCCTCCTCTGCAGCCGAAAGCCCCCTGCCGGTCCGAAAGCTCCTTGAAGACCGTGCTCCCGTGGTTAGACACGGGTTCTTCCTGCAGCTGGAGCCTGGCAGCCCCCCACGGTGAATAGGCAGGCGGGCTGCAGGGCCCCGTCTGTCCGTGCTGCGTGTTGTGGCCGTCTGCTGCCCATGCCTTCGGCAGGTTCTTTGGACTGGTGTCTGGAGGGACACATGAGGCACCGTTCCTGAAGTGCCACTCAGGCTTGCTCGTGGCCACACTGGGTTTCTGTTGGACTCAGAGGCCCTCCCATTCATGGGAGCTGAGCAGAGCCCCACTTTGTAGCAGGCTGGGACCTGGGCATCCTGACTCACCACAGCCCTTGGGACCTGCCCCGGGTCCCACACAGCAGGATGGAGCGGTGAGCACCATCCTCTGCTGGGCACAGACAGTGCTTCAAACAGGCACCACGGGCTGGGAGAGCCCAAAGCAAGTGCAGCCTAGAGTTCCCCTTCCCTGGGTGCCACCTTCTGGGAGCGCTGCTCCACCCCACCCCAAGTTTGGGCTGGACCAGGGCTATTAAGAAGCAATTAAGGCTGGTCCAAAGAACCAGGGTTGGCCTATGGGGTTGTTCATGTTGTGACCTGTCGTGGCCTGAGCCCTGCTCAGACCAAACTGTCCTCTGTGTCTTCTCTCCTGTGGCTCTGGATTCCTTCTCTCCTGAGGGACACTGTGGAGCCCACCCACCTGTGAGATGTGTTCTCCACCCTCTGACAAGGCTGTGCCCAAGGGCAGAGCTGGCAGGTGGCTGTGAATCTGGTGTTTGGTGTGGTCTAAAGCCCACAGCTGGCAGCATTTGGGGCAGACTCAAGGCTGGACTTATGTCTTTCCTGTTACAAGTTCCTCAAAACATAAGGGCCCCGTTCTCCCAAGACCATTGGCCTGCTCTGCTGTGGTCTCTGGGATGGCCTCAGGGGCCCTACGTTTTCTGTCACTTGTCCTCTGCTCTTTGTGAGGGACCCCAGCCCCTCTGCCTTCCGGTTCCCTCCTACCTCATCTCAGGTGTCCCTCTGCTTCCTCCCTGATCTCCTGTGTGCTGTGGCTATGACGGGTGTGTAGCAGCTGGGGGCCTGCACCACGACGGGCTGCCAGAGGTTGGCAGGGCCGTGCACCCCTGGAGTCCTCCCTGTTGCCAGGCCCTTCCCTGGGCTGAGTGTGCACCCACAAGGCCTGCACCCTCCTGGTCTGTCTCGTCTTCCCCACAGGACCTTCTTCTGAAGTCCAGAAGGAGAAACCAAATTCACCCTTGGAAGCCAGTGAGCTCTGGACCGACCCTTCTGAACACAAAGCCAGGAACCAGCCTTGAGAGACGCCAGCCTGCAGGCACCCTGGAAACCCACAGTCAGCACCCAGAGGCTTCAGACACCATTGGCACTAGAGAAGAGCTGCATAGGAGCACCTCCGGCCATTGCTCTGAAGGCCAATATGGAGGGACAGCAGCCAATCGTTCTGAAAAGGGCCCCTGGAAACCGGACTCTCCTGTCTTCTCTCTGGTCCTGTGAATTTGGTCTCTCCCAGCCCTGGGAGACTTCTCCCTTGAAGTCCAATAGTACCTGACTCTTCAGTCCCACTCTCTACACCCTTCTCCCCTCAGTCCTGCTGTCATTGCTGCCACAAACCGTACTTTGAACTCATCAATAAAATAAACAGATTTCTTTTTCAGCTTACAGAAGAATGTGGATTTGGGTAGCAGATTCAAGGCTGTGAAATAAAAATAAAAAAATAAACATAATGTTTGGCTCCTAATCAAGAGTGAGAAACAGAACCCAGTGCTGAGATTTGGGTCTCACAGGAAGGACATAATCAAGGCCAGGGGCTGGCTTGAAGCCGAGGCTGAGTCAGCAGAGCCAGGCTGAGCTGTGCTTCAGTGTCTTCTCAGCAGAAAGATGGCAGGAAATTAAGCCAGTGTCATAAAGACTTCAGTCACTTCCAGAGAGCATAGCTTCAAGCAGGAGCCTCGGTGGTTGCCTCAAGGTGTGAGGTTCCCCGGCTTCTCTCAGGGGCAGCATGCCTCAGCTGCTTCCCCTGAGGTCACCAAGATAGGGTGTGAGTGAGGGAAGTGCAGAGGTTCAGCCCATTCATGAAATTATAATACATCCAGCAGAACCTTATGGAAGGAGACAGGGCTTGAGCCAAGGAGCTGCAGGGGGATAAGTTGAGTCCCTCCTGGTCACAGGGCCCAGGAATGCTCTCAGGCTAGCTCCAGGGAAGAGAGTGAGGTCATGTCAGTATAGTCATCTTATGGAAATCCAAGCCAAGGAGACATAGTGTCCTCAGGCCTCCTGAGAATTGGAAGTGGAAAGTAGTTCTGATTTACAATGTCTCAAAGGGGCAGCTCTCTCCATTCAGGCCTCCTGCTTCTGCCACCAGCTTCCTCTGCATCCTCAGGACTCAGCTTGTACATGGCCATCATGATCATCTGCCTAACTCTAGGTAACCTTTCAGCTATAACTCCATCACCATCATCTGGCTCAGTTTCCATTTTCCAATTCCAAATTCCCAAGGCAGAATCTGATTCGGCCAACTCACCTGAGTGGGCAGCCCTAGGGTCAGGGATCATTCCTAGGTCCAATCAGCTATGGCTAGGGGTGGGATCAGGTGTCACCTAACATAGCTGCTGAGGCAATAGAGACTGTGGGGAGCAAGTCATGATGGATGGGAGGCACAGAGAAAGAGAATCTGCAGGACTTTCTGATCTCAGTGGAGCCAAAGCCACAATGGCTTTCTAATGGTTCCAGAGATAGCAGCCATGCTGAGGAGTTCTCTGTATTTTCTTATCTAGCTCTTGACTTGACTCTGGAGATAATTCCTACTATGTGCTAGGCCTGGGCTGGGCCCTGGTGTCTGCCACCTCAAACTGCAATGACTTGGATCGGTTCATGTCTCCCCCTTTCCCCTCACCCCCCGCTTCCCCAAGGAGCCTTGTGACAACAGCAAACACTTAGTATTGACTGCCTGCCAGGGAATATCTTAACCACCAAGCTCATCTGCTCCCCTCAACGACTCTAAAAGTAGGTAATAATATCACCAACCACGATTTTATTAAGAGAAGATTGAGCTACAAAGAGGTTAAGTGACTTTCCCTGGGTCACATGAGAAAGTGGAGCTGGCATTTGAAGCCCAGGCACTCTGGTGCCGGAGACCATACCCTCCTCACCACATCCTGTGCAGGGCAGGGAACCCCTAGCGGAATGCCTCAGGTTCCAGACCTTCGGCAGAACAATTCTCCTCGTAGTTGAAGAACAGCTAGCATCCTGCTTGCTGTTCAGTGGTGGTTACCTCCTCTACCTCCTCGTGTGACTCACAAATACTGCTGCTGAGACCTCCTGCTTGTTGATGCCTGGAATCTCACCATTGGAAGTTATCTCCAGCTATTCTTAGTTCTTGGCACCTCAGAACAAATGAGTTTATCAGTGCTTTTCAGCGCTTGATGAGTGGGACAATAAAGAGGGCCTGAGCCCTCAGTTTAGAGGAGAGGAGCAGGGATTGTATGCCACTGGGCAGGGTGGGAAGAGGGAAGAGAGGGGGCTGGGACATGAGTGACATAAGTTATGAGCCAGGGCTGGCAGGCTGTGGGGGCTTCAGCTTTTTTTTTTTTTTTTTTTAATAAGGCCTGGCTCCTCTTCACTATCATCAAGGAAATCAATTTTCATGTGTTGAAAAGTTGTCCTGTGTTGAACCCAAAGTGCACAGCTCTCCCCAGCAGACATTGGCAGTAACCAGATAAGAAGTGGAAATTCCAGAGAATGTGTACAGAGGCTGGGCCTAAAGCAGTTCCTAACTTTTCGGGAAAGCCATGAGGGTCCCTGCTGAGGTGAGAGTCCACTAGGAGCACTGGACCAGACCTAGGAATCCACTTCAGTGCCAAGGCTGAGTTTTCAGGAAAAAACCCATCCAGGCAAAGGACAGCCATGCATCACCCACTGGCTCCCACACACATGGCAAACATCACTAATGTAATCCCATTGCCCTCTCCAACCAGCCAAACAGGGAGCCACTAACAACGGATCAAACCTGGCCCACAAGATGAGCCCTACTGCCACCTTTGAATCGGCCTCCCATCCTTGGGTATTCAGGAAAACAGAGGCCAAGGAGGGGTTTCTTGTCCAGTGTTCCCCTAATTTGGTGGTAGAGTTACCATTTCTGTTGCACTGTGAAAACAAAACTGAAAAAGCTGGGAATTCCAAGTGCCCTTTGGCTCTGAACTTTCAGCATTTTATTTATCTCATTGAACTTGCTTCCCACAGCTAATCTTGGGTCTACTGAGTTGGCCTTGAACCTCTCACCTCTGCATCTGGAAGCCAGAGTACAAGGGCTTGGGGTATAGCCTCTGTGTTTAGAGACACCCCTTTGGGCCTGAGCAGGGCTAGGAAGCTGGTTTTCACCCGACTCCAACCTAATTCCCAAGCCTGAGACTTGGGTAAAAATCTGTTTTCAGAGCTGAAAGCCCTTTTCTCTTCCTGTCCTTGCAGAGACCCTTCCAGAGTCCCTGGGTCCAGACTGGCCATGTTCTGTGAGAACTGGGGGGTGCAGGCACAGCCCTCTGGGAAAGGCAGATGGGGACTGGTGCAGGGATTGGGCAGAGGCCCTGCCACAGTTGTCCTCCTGGGGCCTAGAGGTTGCATCCTAGCAGCCCACCCATTGAACTTGGTGGGAGTAAGATGGCTACTAACTGCTAGGTATTTATTCTGTGTCAAGCACTGTGCTGAGCCCTAAACATGCAGCAACATGTAATCATTACCAGACATTACTAAGAGGGAGCAATGATGTTCTTTATGTTCATAAAGGAAACTGAGGCACAAGACTTAAGTTACATGCCTGACTTAAATAGTAAATGGAAGAGCCAGATGTAGACCCAGCCTGGTTGGCTCCAAGAGTCCATATCATTGACCATCATGCTATAGGGCTTCGAGCAGTGAAAAAGCAAAAGTGGATGGAATATGATTTCAGAAGCACCAGGGAAAACTCCATCCATAAAATAACTCCTCTCTGCACCTACCTTCTCTCTGCTTCATTGTGTCCTTCCCTCTGCAGTGAAGCAGTTCATACCTGGCTCTCCTGAAAACTCTCCAACGCCTCCCAAGCTGTCCTCAGGACAAAGTCCAAACTCGTCGCCAGGCATATAAAGGCCTCCATTCCCCAGCCCCTGACCACTTCTCCAGCCGGTCTCTTGCCGATCACTTCTTTCCTTTCGGCCAATGAATCTGATTTCCCTGGCTTGCTGTGCCCTTCACTTGCCTGTGTCTCTGCACACATTCATGTCCACTCTACCCTGTGCTCCTCATGCACACATGAACTTCTGTGCATCCTTCAAGGCCCAGCTTACGTGTAGAAGGGAGACACTGGGCCTGGCATGGAAGGAAAGCTCAATTGTGTGAGCTGCTTCCACCTGAAATTGACTCTTTGTGACAGAGAAAAGCCACCTAATTCAAGACCTCTTAAATAAAAAATCCAGGCGTTGCTGATGTCAGGTCTGACTAGATTCAAGAGTAAAGCAAGACATCTGTAACTGTCAGAGGGTGAAGTGGGGATGAAAGAGAAAGAGAAAGAGGGGAGGGAGAGGAGGAATTTTAAGGAATTGGCTCAAACAATTGCAAAGCTTGGCAAGTCCAAAATCTGCAGGTGAGCAGGTTGGAGACCCAGGGAAGAGCTAACATTGCAGCTCAAGTCTGAAAGCAGTTTGGGGGCAGAATTCCCTCTTCCTCAAGGGCATCAGCCTTTTTTCCATTAAGTTCTTCAGCTTATTGGGTAGAACCCACATTATAGAGGATAATTTTTACTCAAAGTCTACTAATTTAAATGTTAATCTCATCTAAAAAAAATACATTCACAGCAATATCCAGACATGTTTGACTAAATATCTGGGTAGTGTGGCAGCCAAGTTGATACATAAAATTACCCAGCACACCATCTCTGGACTCTCCCCCTATCTGGTTGGCTTCATGCTCATATAGGCTCTTCCCATGTGATGCCAATATGGTCCTCCAATATCCCAAACGTAGTCTACCAGGTAGTGCAACCCCAGCGGAAAAAGCACATCGCCATCCTAAGAGTTTTAGCTAAATCCCAAGGACTTATTCTGATTGGCTTGACTTGGGGTATGGCCTTCTCCAATTGGCCCAGCCTGAGTCACACATGTAGCCCCTTCAGCACCAGGAAGCTGGTCCTGGTTCCAACATTTCGGCCCTCTTGGGGAGATAAGAGAAGTTGTATTATCT